GGTGATGGGTAACTTCCAAGCCGGATGATATTCAGTCCCTTCCTCAGGTGCCTGGGTATCAAGGACACCCCCTCTACTCTCAAGCATCATCATCATGCGCTTTGATATAACGTCCCTACTGCAGTGCAATCTTTCTTTATTCTTTCCTCCTTCTGTGCTCCACACCAAAGTAGAGCAGATCAGTTCTTGAGACCATGGCCGAAGAGTAACGTCCAGGCTGGATGACATCCAGTCCCTATCTCAGGTGCTGGGTGTCAAGGACACTCCCTTTACTCTAAAGCATCATCATCATGACAACAGCAGTGCTACAAGTTTACCTTACATGCTAATGTAGCCAGTCCCATAGTTTCCACTCCCCTTGAGTGTCCAGCTCATTGATGCATTGATGATAGGGGAGTCATGTGCTCCCCTGTCATTTCTCAGTCAGCATCTGCTTTCTCCATGTATTGTAACAGGCCACGTAGGTGAGCTGTAGCACAAGTAGGGTGTCCTTCTGACTCCTCCATCTGGTGGTCACAAGTATGTGATCTGATAAGACCCTGTGATATAGGATTGCAGCAAGGTAGAAAAAAAACGTTTTATTTTCAGGGGGAACACAGGGGGAGCTTCGATGATTATTGTACTGCTTGCCTGGAAATTGGTTTTAGGTGTGCCTGTGCCACTTTAGTCTATTTGATGAGTCTTAAAAAAAAAAAAAAAAAAAAAATTTTTGGGTTTGGGGTTAATAAAAGGAAAAAAAAAAAAAAAAATATGTTGGGTCTTGGAGTTACTAAAGGATAGACAGATATCTTTCATACCGTCCTCTACGGACATTAGACCCCATTCACACCAGATCCATTGAAATCCATATTTCAACGGATGCCAACGGAAGGGAACTAAAAAAAGAAATGGGTGTGAATGGGACCAGTTCACACCATTATGTTCCATTGTGTTATGTTGTGCTAAAAAAGTAGAACGTGACCTACTTTTTTTCAGTGCAACGTAACACAACACAGCGGTGTGAACTAGCTCCATTTATTCCCATTAATTTTTCGGTGCCCTTAAGTTTAAGGTGCCCATACACCTGCCGATTATCGTACGATCGTATGATAATCAGCAGGTGTATAAGCAGCGTGCGACCACATCTACTGTACGATCGCACGACTTTCATCTTCTTAGCACGCTCGAAAACCCACCGAAAATCGTATGATTTTAAGCGGGTTGGTAGCGTGCTCGGAAGACGAATGCCGCACGGGCTGGTGTGCGCAAGCGCACACTGCCCGCTCAGCACTGCAATCATCGGCAAGCCCTCCTCTCAGCGGGGAGGGCTTGCGATGATCGCAAGTACGATCTTCCTGTCCAAGATGGGCAGATCTTACGAAATTTTAATGACCTTACAACCATTGCACAACGAAAGTCGTGCGATGGTTGTAAGGTGTACGGCCAGCCTAACAAACAGATCGCAACCGATCAGAAGGTACAATCACAAGTCAATGGACCCTCCATTGACTTACGATTACCCTCCAATTTTGGTGTGAATGGGCCTTTAGAGTTAAGCCGCCCATTAATTTTGAATTAGCTGCCAAAGCTCCTCCGCTGCACGTTTTTTTACCGCGATTCGCGCGTTTCCGAAGGCTACTTGGCTGTATCCCAATGGAAACGCGCAACAAAACGGCCCAAAGTAGTACCTGTACCTTTTCAGGCGTGGGCCGTTTTGTAGCGCGTTAGGGACGGGCGGAAATACGCCAAGGTGGGAACGAGACCATTGAATACAATGGGATTTATATTTTTGAGCGTTTTGTAGAGCGTTCGTCGAGCATAGAACGCGCTACAAAACGTTCAGGTGTGAACGAGGGCTAAGAGTTATCATCTTGGGTGTTAAAACATTAGTTTTGGGGAGTGATAACTTTGTTAAATTATCCTTGGGACAGCACAGTGGCTGAGTGGATAAATGAGTAGCATCATGCCGATGGCACGGCTTAAATTCAGCTAATCACTTAAACATTTCATTGTATCAGTCATGTTTTTTTCCTGGTTCCCTCAGCTATGACATCATTGTCTTAGCAAAGTCAAATTGTGTTTTTTGGTCTACATGTGGCCCCCTTTCCTCTTGGACAGCCAGGAGCACGTCTCCCAGAGGCAGAGGCATTATGGGATTTGTAATTTCACCACAGCTGGAGTGCCGAGGTTACCTGCCCCTGCTCTATATAGACATAGTCAAGAGGTTCAGATGTTGCTCAACCAAACAGTAGAAGGGTAAAGATGTGTGATCCAAGCCTAGCCATATACATTTAGGGTTCTCTCATTCAGTCCAGCTGATAAACAAGTGTAGAAGGGGAAATCTCCTCTGCTGGCTATTGTACCCAGACAGCCACTGGCACCCATGGCTGCCTGAATAACCCAGCAGTGACTACATCTAATAGGATGTGGTCACGATAACAGTTTTTCACCCGGCTCCTTTGATTTTAAAATGGGCTTTTGTGGAGTTGGGTGGTACTGACAGACACCTACAGTTTGAATTTTGGCCAATTTAGCAGCATTCTGATTAAATTCGAGCAGTGTAAGGCCGGCTTAAGCAACTCTGACTGTGGAATGATTGTTCCACTAACCCATTTACTATATCCAAAACTGAAAAAGGAAAGATAAAGATTTGGTTTTAGATACACTTTCATTTTTCTTTATTAAGCACGCTGGCACTACATAAAAGAAAAAGAAAAAAAACAGCTATATTTACTGTCGTGCAAGATATTATAGATTATACAGGCTTCCCATAAAAGTCAAGCCCTGGCATTAACCCCGAGATTAACTCCAGCCAGAGACAAATTACCTCACAAGGAAAGCACGGGCACATCTCAATTTTGGAAAGTGATGCACACTGAATTCTTAAAATAAAAAACACAAAAAAATGTATATAGCATGTTTGCTTTGAACATCCAACAAGTCCATACTGAGTCAAATCACAATTCGAGTTATTTTTGTCGGAGTTCTAAAGGTACAGGTGTGTGTGCCAACTCTGCGTGTTCAAGCAGAAACTTTTCTCAGGTATCTCAGAATTACTTTGCTCACCGGTGGGAGTTTGTGCCAGGTTCATGCTTGGACAAGGTCCTGTCTCTGTGCTTATTGCCTTTTGTAGGCCTTAAAGCACACACGACGCCCACATCTGCTGCAGGAAGCCATTTTCTGTGAAATGTAAGCTATGGAGCACATGTAGGTAGGGGAGTGTGGCAGCTGTTGATAGTCCGAGGAGCATTGCTGTCGCTCCAACGGACTACAGGTTTGAGAAGGGAGCCAGTGATCCCGTGAGCACTAAATCACTTCATCATTGTGTTACCATTGTAAAGAAATGAGCACTCTTTACTACTGGTGCTATAGTAAGTCACACATAGGACCAACATGTCCTCTGACATGGACGCCTGATGCTATCTTGGAAAGCTTGTATCTAATTGGACATAGAGTTCTCCCAAGATTTCAGCTGCGATCTTGGACACAAGGCAGCTATATATAGCCCTTGCTGTGATCCAGAGGGGCCCTTTGAAGCAGGGAAGTGTGGAGCTAGGGACAGCACCCCCCTTGTTAAGGACAGCGAGGCCTTGCCCCTCAGTTAGAGAGGGTTGAAGCCCTGGACATGGGAAGGAGCTGGTGAATTCCTAAGAGGATGTGAAAATCTGTGGCCACACAGATTTTCACATCTGTGCTAACACTGACCAGCTGCTAGAGGGGTTACTATACCAAGGGGATTCAGTCCATCAATGCGTCATGCAACTTCCTGGATGTAAAGTCCTGTTTCCTTCTATGTTACTGCTCCCTGTAACGTGCCTGCTGTTCTGAGGTGGAATAGAGGAAGTAAGCTGCATTTCTGTACACACCATTTTCTGTTGATAAAATGCTGAAAAGAAACTGTCGCCCAGGGCCAACCCTATAATGAGGGAGCCTGAGGCTGTTGCCTCAGGCAGCAACTCATGGGTTATGTGGGCACTGCCTGCCGCCTTCTTTCTGGCCAGAGTATCACAGGTTGATAAGAGTCAGGCAGGGTAGATGTGTAAGGGCTCTGCATCTCCCTGTCTAGCACTTAGCAACCTGGAACACTCTGGTCGGCCTCCTGCCTAGCTCTTGGCAACCAGTGACGTCATTGGTTGCAAGGAGCTGGGCAGGATGCCCTTGTCTGCGTCTTGCCCAGCTGCACCACCAGGAACCGCCCCTCCCCACCTCAGGCTAAGGATGATGCTAAGGACACCCCTGGTGTCGCTTGCTCCCTTAAGACCCTGCTACACCATAAGCATCCATTACACACATTCCTGTCAAAAACTGGAGAAAACCATATTGAAAGCTTGTCCAATGTTTCAGAGATGGCGCTAGTCTTTAGTGCCCTAGTTCTCAGTACAGGGATGTAAAACATCCTAACAAAACCCTAACATTGACCTATTCCTAATGTTGAGTGGAGACCAATACCCCCACCTAAACCCTAACATTCAATCTATGCTATACCATTAGGGGTCATTCACAACAGATACAATTACAATTCAAACAATACTGCATGGGATCGCACATTTGTGGATAAATTAATTCTGATCATTTCACATGAGCTCTTCTGTTACTCTGCTCTCTCCTCCTAGCAGCAGCATTCACCTTAGCACAGGAGCATTGCAGCACAACTGGCTCCTTGTGCTGCTTCTCCCTCTCCCAGAGTAAGCTCTGCTGTACAGGGACTGTGATAGATGCTAGTCAAATTCAGGTACTTACACTGCTGCATTTAAAAAAATCAATTTCATGATGTACACACACAGAGTTACAGTAACAGTTATATCCTAAATCTGCCCGGAGAGGAGTTTTAACCTAATCTCTAACACCTAACCATACCATAAACATAACATAGACGCTCAATTTATTTCAACTCAAACTTGAAAAATTTGGCTGCATTTCCATTGTGATCTGCACCACTTTTTTTGTTTTAACAAATCTGCACCATATCCCAGCAAAATGCCATCACTGATCACCGTGTATGGAGCCCACACCGCACTCACCATGATCGACTGGTTCATGTTCCTCATCTGGTAGACGTCCATGTTGATCTCTGTCCGGTTGGGAACGTCTGAATTGGAGTGACTTGACTGAGGCAGGTCAAAATAATTGCTGTCCGGTTCCCTGGAAGTAAAACAAGATGTGATATATTTTATCTGTGCCCCAGAATCAGCATTTGATATTTTTTCCCAACAAGTTGAAGCCTAGACTGTTCACTTCTCCTGCCTTCTCCAAACACTTCACCCTTTTGTGAATAACCCTGTTAGTTTTGGATAGGGTAGGGAAGTACTAGAACTCTTGTTTGGGTTCAACTGTTGTCCATGGCTCAGTTAGAAAGATTTCCCCTCACTTCTTGTCCTGGGACAACCTTTTAACTAAACAGGAAGTGAAAGGAACTCTGCAACAGCAACACAGGCATGAGTTAAAAATGCTTTATTTAGGTTAGGTAGGGGAAGCCTAGAATCACTGCCAGCTTTTTATTGGGGTATTTTCCCTCAGTTTCTGTCTGGTAAAACATGTCCCCCAAAGCAGGAAGTAAGGAGAAATCTCTCCAATAAAGCCTGAAATTAAAGTAAAACCTAAAGTGGTTCTAACACTTCCCCACTCTATCCAAAAGTAGGAAAAAGAAATCCAGCTACAGATACACTTTAATATGTCTGTATTGACCATAATTCATGTAGGACATCAATGAAGTGCAGTATGCGAGTTGTACAGCACTGATTGTGTAGACGGGACCTTGTAAGTGAAAGGATTTGAGTCTCTGAAAGCAAACAGACACATTTTTCTTTTCATAATCTAAACTGAAAAAATGTAACTTAAAATTCAACACCTTGCCTTGGGAGACAAACCCTCTTTCCACAAGGCCCATTTAGGCCACATAATGACAAAATGAACATTGCCCGAGTGCATCACTTTTGAGTCACAGACCCGGAACATGCATGCTCCGTATCAATGTAGAAAATGGGACATTTCCTATCTCTATACTTATTCCAGAGCTCATAGAGCATTGCATGAGCATGACAGCCAGGAAACTAACAGTCTCAAGGATATATCAACAATGGCTGCCTCTATAGTCCTGTCATGACTGGTGTACTTTAAAACTAAATCTTATTAGCTTAGTGGATTTATTATTTTCTAGATTTAAAAAAAAAAGCAACCAGGTTCCAAAATTAACCCAGGTGTGGGCATCAATATACATTATAGTACAAATGTTTATGGACACCTAACCATCACACCTACACTATATTGCCAAAATAATGTGGACGCCCTTCTATATTACGGAGTTCAGGTGTTTCCAGTGAAGGGTACGGTTATGGCTACAGCATACAAAGACATTTTAGACAATGCCCATCATGCCGACATTACGGGTAGGCCCTACCCTGACCATGCCTTTAAATATGAGGGGCACATCCACTTGTGGCCCTGATCCCTGCAATAATACTTTTTTTTTCATTACTGTGCATGTGGAGTAACTAAGATTGATGCGTTCATCTTAGAACATAGCCCGGGACACAAAATCGGAGGGGCAAGATGCGGGACTGTCCCTCAAAGCCCTCCTTACCATCTTGTCTTGAATTGTATTGTTATTGTAATGTCTTCCTTATATTGTAAGTTCGGGGAAAGCCCTTTTCTGTTCCACTATGATCATGCACCAGCTCTGTATAGACATGGTTTGATGAGCTTGATGTGGAGAAGCTTGAGTGATCTGTATTGAGAGCCCTGACGTTTACCCCATTGAGCACCTTCTCCCCCATTTTCAGTACCTGGCCTTATTTGGCTCTTTTGGCTGAAAGCCTTCCCAGTAGAGTGGAGGCTGTCATAGCTGAAAAGGAGGGACAATTCCATATAAATACCCATGGTTTTGGAATGCGATCTCCAACAAGCTGTTATAGGTGGGATAGCCAGGTGTCCACAAAGTTTTCTGTCATATAGTGTACAGAAGAAGTTCAGCCAAGTTCAAATTGCATCTGATATAGTTATATAGATACAACATACTGTACGTTAACATTTACATTCCAATAAAATCCTGCAGGCAGTTTTCAGGTCTAATGTAAACTAATATTAAACATTTAATAACATCCAATAAGTCCTGAGAAGCTTCAACTTCTGACCCTGTCCTCTCAAGCCACTGATGTGGAACAATTATGCCGTTCAGAAGTTCTGACGTCATTGGCTGCATGCTTGTAAATGACAAACATACTAAAGCCAGAAACAGACAGGAAAAGTATAATTTAGAGGTTCAACAACGTCAACCTCCATATTCCTCCCTGTACAGGTTCCCTATAAATGCACCGATACCAGTTTTTCGGTATTGAGTACCGATATTTATCTTTTGGTACTTGCCGATGTCGAGTACCGATACCGGTACTTCTGCTAGCATGGAGCCAGGTTCCCAGGCAATCAAGAAGCAAGGTGGCGTGTCATTACCCGCAATCCTGCTTCTTGATTGCCCGGGAAGCCGGCTCCATGCGGTTTTGCGGGCTCGATGCTGATTGGCTGAGAAGCTGGCTTCCCAACCAAACACCGAGCCGGCTTCCCGGCCAATCAGCATGGAGCCGGCCAAAAAGCATGAAGCCCGCGAATCATTATGAGCCGCCCGGCTTCCAGATTGGCCGGGAAGCTGGCTCCATGTTCCCTCGCTACACTGCCTGTGCCAGTATTGGTATCGGAGCATTTGGAAGAGTACACATACTCAGTATCAGCACCAATACTAGTATTGGTGCATTCCTACATAAAAAGCTCAGGGTTTCTTGAAGTAGTGAATTCTGCCTCTTTCATCAAATTCTGCTGCCTATGTGCTGAACAAGTCTGCAGTCATTTAGCCCAACTGAATCTAGTGACGTTACTGAAGTGTTTCTGCGATTTGATACATATTGGTGATTTAGTTTCTAGATTGAAACCCTGCTTGGCGTTATACTGTTCCCCTACTAATGGCCTCACAGGTGTGGTTGGCTGATACAGCCTTAGCAGGGTACATCTGGAAACAAAATAGCTGCTGTAATTGAAACTAATTGAGAGTCTTGGCAATGTTAAAAGCACCCAGTAAACTAAGAAAAGAAGGACATCTCTATAGTCATTAAGTCTACAATGCATCTACTGTAACTGCACTTTAACAATCATCTCCCCCATTGAAAGCTAAACCTCAGGGAAACTGCTAAATACACAGATGATATACATATATGAGAGCTGTTTCACCTGCCAAGGGATTTTGTAATTCTGTCTATTCAGTTTTGAGATTTACGCAGCTCTGCCACAATGTAGAGCCAGCCTAGAGATCTGACTGCAGAAGAAACCACTGAAGGTCTCCTCCCTGCCCCCAGCCTGTGACTGGACAATGAAAGAGAAGCTGCGGATTGATAAGCTCATCTCTCTGTCACTCTTCTTTCTCCTCTTGTTAGCATGTTACTTGTTGGCACAGGAGCATTGCAGCACAACTGATTGCCTCTTAATACTGCTTTTTACTCTCCCTGTCTAAGCTCTGCTGCATTATGGGTGGCAAGATGCTGATAGTATGTCAAATTAGGTTACCTAATGAACACATGCCTGCATGACTTGGTGATGTTATATCTGTCTGTAGCAGTTTTAACTGAAAGGCAAACAGGAATCAAATATGCACTCAACCACCAAAATGGCTTACTTCACTGTCTAGCTCATACAGGTGCCCTTTATTATTGACCTAAAGTCAAATGTATTCAAATATATTTAGCTATCCCACAGTTCAAACTGGCCCAACATAACATGAAACGTAAATATCTGCAGCACAGAAACGTCCAAGCGCCTGAAGTATTTGTAAAGACCTTCTTTAGCTTGTTCTCTATTCCATTCGCCTCCGTGACTTCATTCCTGACCCTGCCCTGAACACTACATCCATTTCCTGCCAGTAATATTGGAATTTGAAAACAAATAAGCCGGAACTGAAACTTACAGGGTACTCCAGAGGTGCTCAAAAGTCGTCCCTTCATCAGCCGGAGAAGAATGGGACATCTTCACCGAGGGGGAGTCAGACAAAGGATAGATCACTCTGTGACCAGAACACAGACACAATTATCAGTAACACATCAGCATGCACAGACTCAACACACCGATTTATATGACCTCATTTACACAATCATATACACTGCATGGCATAAGGATTTTGGCTACCTGACCACCACAACGACTATATAGCCAATAGAATGTGGACACTCCTCAATATTAATAGGTTCAGATGTTTCCAGTGCAGGATACGGTTAATGCTACAGCATACAATGGCATATTGGACAATTGCGTTCTTCCATACTTGAGCAAAAAGTTTGTTGAAGGCCCTTTTCTGTTCCAGCATGCACTGTGCCCCTGGGCATAAAACCAATCCCATAAAGACATGGTTTGATAAGTTTGCAGTGAAGGTACTCGAGTGGCCTGCACAGAGCTCTAAAATCAAACATACTGAATACCTTTGAGAAAAATTGAAATGCCAATTGAGACCCAGGTCTTCTTATACAACACCCGTACATGGCATTCTAATCTTGTGGACAGCCTTCCCAGAAGAGAGGAGACTGTAATAATACATTCTATATCAGCGGTTGCCAACCTTTCGGACCTCATGGACCACTAAATTCAAAATTTTAAATCCCGTAGACACTAATATTAATTTTTACAAAATATTTATATATATTCTCATATTCTTTGTTTCCTCATATATAAATATATTCTCATATGTGTGTGTGTGCATATCTATAGATATCTATAGATATATCTATAGATATCTATATGCACACACACACACACACACTATATATATATGCACATACATACATACATAGGTGCCGGTGTGCCTGGTGCGGGTGGGCCCGGGTACCACCAGTTGGTGATCGCTGTTCTATATTAATACCTATGGTTTTGGAATGAGATGTCCAACAAGCCAATAGGTGTGCAGGTCAGGTGGCCACAAACCTTTGGCCATATAGCGTATGTTGTAATATCTCTAGTTAAGTCATATTAAAGGGACAAGTTTGACCAAAGATCTTAAAATACAGTGGAAACAAATATACTGGAACCACTTTACCTGGCACAAGTTCTGTAAAATAAAGCACACATACTGATCACCACCCATCTCCCATCCCACCCTTTTGCTTCAGACAACAAATGAAACAACACTTGAAAACGGCAGCTTATGTTACGCAAGCATCCCCAATCCTCCCCCCCCCAAAGTCTGCTTGGGGTCAAGAGCTGCGAGTACTGCTGCAGATTATTATTAAGCCCAGTGAATTTAATGTTACATATACCATTCATCCATACTGACACACTCAGCAAAAATTAACTGAGAAAGGTTTACTTAGCTCTTGTTGCCACCACTATTTCCTTTATGGATACGACTCCCCCTCCATAATGGTATATTGGTAGAGTGTACATCTTTGCTATACAACTATACATACAGGTTACTGGAAATGCTTTTTGTATTGGAATTTCTGTATTACCCACATGTATGACTTACAGTTGCACAGTGCCGCAGAAATTAATGTGTTGCAGAAGTCAACATGAGAAGACTAGGCAAGGGAGACTGAGATTTGCTGGACTGGTGATTCGGCGTTGAGATACTTTACCATTCAGACAGACAGAGTAGGTGTTGGGCATTATATAGCTATAGCTCCCTGTTCAGACCTTCAATCACAGCATATAGCATAAGGAAGTATTCCAGCACCAACTTCCTTTGACTGGATACAGAGTGCTGCAAAGCAAGCTGATGCTGGAAGGTATGACAGTATCCCAATACATTTCCTTAGGAAACCCCACCTTTTTACCATGACTACCCATTGATGCGACACCATGGAACACTTTACATGTAACACTTTCTTTAGCCCACAGAAAGCGGTCCCCATAATGATAGGGCTAGCTGGTTGTGTTTGACCCCCGACTGACCAAAGATTCCCAGTCCTCCCCTGTAAATCAATATGCAATATGTCCATGTCCTTCTTAGTTCCAAATCCCCTTTATTCCTACAATGTGCCAACAATCTCAATATGCACTATTTACTTAAAACAACGAATGCATTTAAGACCTAGTATCATTTTCTATTTTATTACATTTCTGGAAGAAAGTTGGTATTCTATTCATTTGCTACTGTTTATAGGATTCTTAGCTGGCAGCATGGCATGCTGGGTAATCTCACATGGCACCTCCATGATTAGAAGAGTGTGAGGATATCTCAGCAGGAGTCAATTACATTAAAGTGCTACCGCTTCCATCATGAGCTCAGACACCAGCAAAACCTCAAGAGGTCTGCGCCACATGGAAGACAGAATTAGAAGTTGTACTTCCCGTCGTTAAGATGTGCCAAGATGGACTAGCCTGGGCCTGTCCAGTGTTGGACATAATATGTCACTTTACTGCCTTCATATCTTACGCCTAATGCGTACGTTAGCCTGCCAAGAGGTCTCTGATTGGAAGATTTCACGACACGCAGGACGACGGCGGCTATCAGTCAGCACCCCGTTGAGAGCCCGAGTACACAAGCTAGGACTACGCTGAAGTATGAATGTTGTAGAGATCGCTTTAAAAGAAAAACACTCCTAGGATATAGTCCACTGTGAATGATTTGGTTGAGCAATTCAAAACAGAGTACAAAAGGATAGCGATAGCCCAGAATGTAATTTTCTTGGCGATTGTTTGGGATGTATTTTTCTTGACAACTGTCCTTGCCACCCGGAGATAGGTGCCAGCAATGTCTACGTGGGGCATAAACATTCACACTCAACCTACATGAGCATCCTCTAGAAAAACAGTGCGGCGGTCCCAACTACTAACCACCAGTTTATGCCACTGGGAAATGTCGATGGAGCAGCAACAATGTACACCATTTTATTTTTCCCTTTTTGGTTACCTTTGGACATCTATGTATAGATAATACAGGAAAACTGAATGGGGTACGGTGGAGGAGCTGCTGGAAGGAGTCACGTGACTCATCAGCTTCAGCTCTATGCAAAATGAATAGTTCTTATAGCTCGTTCATCACGCTCTCCAACAAAATTCTCAATTCTGCTCATATTCTATGGACATTGCAATGGCGTGACAGTGTTGGTCACATGGAACGGTCTCTAGATTGTTCATAGCAATGAAAGAATAAACTTTCAGTTGAAACAAAGTAACACCCTTCTTAGAGGCAAACAGCTATATACACAGATGAAATACACTGCCTGGCCAAAAAAAGTCCCCACTTGGATTTACCTAAGCAAATAGGCAACAGCTATAGGAGTTGCTTCAGTTTGTCAGGTATAGGTTCAGCACCGTTATAGGTCAGCTGCCGACCTGAATATACTGATTGACCAGGTTTTTCCATCAAATGGATTTTTTTCCTCCCTGATGGCACGGATATATTCCTAGTTGACAATGCCAGGATTCCTCGGGCTCAGATTGTGAAAGAGTGGTTCAGGGAGCATGAGACATCATTGTCACACATGGATTGGCCACCACAGAGTCCAGACCTTAACCCCATTGAAAATCTTTGGGATGTGCTGGAGAAGACTTTCCGCAGAGGTCCGGCTCTCCCATCATCACTACAAGATCTTGGTGGAAAATGAATGCATCTCTGGACAGAAATAAATGCTGTGACATTGCATAAGCATTTGGAAACGATGCCCCGGCGAATGTGTGCCGTAATCAGAGCTAAAGGCAGCTAAAGAAAAAATTAGAGTGTGTGACTTTTTTTTTGCCCGGCAGTGTACATATCAGGCAGCTCTTCTATCAGCCAAAAAAAAATGTATTTCTGTCCATGAAGTTGTAAAAACACAGCTCGGCCACACAGCACAGCCAGGGGAATGACCCAACCTACAGTTAAGAAACACAATGATGTCTTGTTCACCTCCAGCCTGCAAACTTGACAATAAAAGAGAAGAGGCAGACTGCTAAGGTCACCCCTCTGGTCACTCTGGTCTCTTTTCCTATTAGCATGTTCCTTGCCAAAATATTTACGTCTAGCACACCTGACTGGTTCCTAGTCCTTCAGTGCTGATGTAAAGGAGATTGCAAACGATGTGAAATTCAGGTACTTAAACTTGTTCTATTTATAAAATAAATCTATTAATGAATTCAAAGCTGTCTTAATTAGTGTCATTTAGATCTGCCTGGAGTTCAGCTTTTGGGGCTTACGACTTGCGTCACTTCTGCGGCTTTATGAAGGATCAGGCATGCGGCTTATGGAGAGCTTACAAGTATGACTTATCGGATACGGGTGCTCTATGTGTTTTCTAATGTCAGAAAAGATTGTAACAGAACCATATAATAGTCCTGCCTAGACAACTGATAATGGAAGTGTAAAAATCAATTGTGTTATGATCATGCTCGGCCTCTGTTGGCAATACAGTATGCATTAAAACTAAGCTGAACTCTGAGCACAAAGAATTTCATCTTAAATACTATATATTCCTCAGTAGCCACAAAGGATATCTATCCACTTTGTGTGTTCAGCAGTGGAGCGTAACTTCAAACTTCTTACCCGCTGGTATATGGTCCCATGAAATACAATGTCTCACCAGCACATCGAGGAAATGTGTCCAAAATGCCTTTATTCACATTTAAGTAGTTTGTCAAGAAAATAGCAACATTTCAGGGTCACTCAGGGTCCCCTCATCAAGTATATTACAACTAGGGTTGCCACCTGTCCAGGATTCACCTGGACAGTCCGGGTATTGAATGCTGTCTTCGGATTTCATGGCAGCAGAAACCCGGACACAAGATGTCAAGCAGACATGGGCAACCAAAATGAAGATAGGGGCTACTGGCCCCCCCACTGAAAACAGTCTCAACTGGGATATTTACATATTAATGGGTGGCGCTATTTACATATGAATAAGCTACGACTTATTCTCCCCAAAAAATGTTTGTGTGCCGCCTGAGTGTTCGGGTTTCGCTTGAAGAAAAGGTGGCAACCCTAATTACAACTGATAAAGGTGCACTGTGTGGGTCCATTTCTAAAACGTTGATATTTTCTTGACAAAATACGTCAACAAAAGCATTTTGGTTTGCTGATTATGTGTTTAGATGAAG